GGGTCTCTATGGGTCTCTATGGGGCTCTATGGGTCTCTGTGGGTCTCTATGCATCTCTACGGGGCTCTATGGGTCTCTATGGGTCTCTATGGGGCTCCATGGGTCTCCGTGGGTCTCTATGGGTCTCTATGGGTCTCTGTAGAGCTCTATGGGTCCCTATGGGGCTCTATGGGGTCTGTATGGGCCTCTATGGGTCTCTATGCATCTCTATGGGGCTCTATGGGCCTCTATGGGTCTCTATGGGTCTCTGTGGGGCTCTATGGGTCTCTATGGGTCTCTATGCATCTCTATGGGGCTCTATGGGTCTCTATGGGGCTCTATGGGTCTCTGTGGGCCTCTATGGGTCTCTATGGGTCTCTATGCATCTCTATGGGACTCTATGGGTCTCTATGTGGTCTCTATGGTCTCTATGGGGCTCTATGAGGCTCTATGGGATCTCTATGGGGTCTATGGGTCCCTATGGGGTCTCTATGGGGCTCTGTGGGGTCTCTATGGGGTTCTATAGGGCTCTATGTGTCTCTATGTGTCTCTATGAGGTTTCTATGCGGTCTTTATGGACCTCTATGGGTCTCTATGGGGTCTCTATGAGGTCTTTAGGGGGCTCTATGGATCCCTATGGGGTCTCTGTGGGGCTCTATGGGTCTCTATTGCTCTATGGGTCTCTATGGGATTCTATGGGTCTCTGTGGGTCTCTATGGGTCTCCATGGGTCTCTGTGGGGCTCTATGGGTCTCCATGGGTCTCTATGGGGCTCTATGGATCCCTATGGGGTCTCTGTGGGGCTCTATGGGGCTCTCTGGGCTGATTAATGCCGGCGCTAATTAGCTGCTAATTACAGACGAAGGAGGCGATGGCGCTGCTGGCGCTGCTGGGGCGCAGCCTGGCTTTGGGGGCGGAGCTTCGTCTGTGTGGGCGTGGCCAACCCAAAGCCCCGCCCATTCCAGCCCTCGGACCAATGGGGCTCCTGGGGGCGGTGCGAGCCCTGCGGCAGGAAATGGAGGTGGGGGGCGGGGCCGGAAGGGGCGGGGCTTTATGGAGAGGGCGTGGTTAAAAAGTAGAGGGCAGGGTTAATGGTATGAAGGGGCGGGTCTAAAAGGGTGGGTGTGGCCTTAGCGGAGTGGGCGGGGCTTAATGACTCGAGGTGTGCGAAAGGGGCGTGGCTTAAAGAGAAGGCGGGGCTATGGAAGGAGGGGGCTTAAAAGAAGTGGGCGGGGTTACGGGATAAGAGGGCGGGGCTTCAATTAAAGGCCGAGGTGGAATTGAAGAATGGGCGTGGCTTAATGTAAGTGGGAGGGGCTACGTTGCAGAGGGGGCGTGGCTTAAATGCCGGGCTGGGATATGATAAAATGGGGGCGGGGCTTTAATGGAAGAGGAGGCGGGGTTACGGCATGAGGAGGCGTGGCTTAAAGGTTGGGTATTGACAGAAGGCGTGGCTTAATGGAAGTGGGCGGGGCTATGGAGCTCAAGCGGGCGTGGCTTAAATGCTGGGCTAAGTATGGAATGGTGGGGGCGGGGCTTTAATGCAACAGTGGGCGGGGCTAAGGAGGAAAGGGGCGGGGCTTAGCCGCTTTTAGGGCGGTGTTAAGGGGGTGGGCGTGGCTTAAAGGGAGGTCGGAGCTAAGTCAAACCCGGGCTCAATGTGAGCGAATGGGTCAGAAAGGGGCGTGGTTTATTCGGTGGCTAGACCGGGAGGGGGCGTGGCTTGCCGCAGGAGTGGGCGGGGTTAATGAGTAAAGGGGGCGTGGCTCGCGTTTGGCCCCGCCCCCTCCCATTGCAGGCCATGGAGGAGGGCGGCGACGTCAGCGATGTCATCTGGGAGCTGGTGGAGAGCGGGGCCGAGGTGGGGGGGCGGAGTCACGTGACCTCCCTGATCATGTGATCGTCCGCCCCCCGCCCAAGATGGCTGTCGACCCATTGATCCCAATGACCCCAATGGCCCCACTGACCCCAAAACCACATTGACCCCATTGATTCCAATGACCCCATTGATCCCATTGACCCCAAACCCCATTGACCCCAATGACCCCAATGTCCCCACTGACCCCAAAACCCCAAAAACCCCATTGATCCCATTATGAGCGAATGACCCCATTGACCCCAAAACCCCATTGACCCCATTGTCCCCATTGACTCCAAAACCCCGTTGACCCCATTGATCCCATTGTCCCCATTGACCCCAATGTCCTCACTGACCCCAAAACCCCAATGACCCCATTATGATTGAAACTCCACTGATCCCATTGTCCCCAATGTCCCCATTGACCCCATAACCCCAAAACCCCATTGCTCCCATTGATCCCATTGTCCCCATTGACCCCAAAACCCCAGTGACCCCATTGTCCCCATTGTCCTCACTGACCCCATAACCCCCAAACCCCAAAACCCTTTTGACCACGTCTTCCCTGACCCCATTGACCCCATAACCCCAAAACCCCATTGACCCCATTATGAATGAAACCCCATTGATCCCATTGACCCCAATATCCCCATTGACCCCAAAACCCCATTGACCCCATTGTCCCCACTGACCCCAAAATCCCAAAACCCTTTTGACCCCAATGTCCTCCTTGACCCCAGTGACCCCATTAATCCATTCACCCCATAACACCAAAACCCCATCAACCCCATTATGGGCGAATGACTCCATAGACCCCATTGTCTCCACTGACCCCATAACCCCATTGACCCCAAAACCCCCTTGCCCCAATTGTCCCCATTGTCCCCATTGTCCCCATCGACCCCAATGTCCCCATTGACCCCATAACCCCCAAACCCCACTGACCCCATTGACCCCATTCTTTCCATTGACACCAATCACTGCGTTGACCCCAATGATCCCATTGGCCCCATTGATCCTATTCACCCCCCTGACCCCATTGACCCCATTGTCCCCACTGACCTCTTTGTCCCCATTGTCCTCATTGCCCCTATTGACCTCAAAGCCCCCATTGACCCCAATGCCCCCATTGACCCCATTGACCCCAATGCCCCCACTGATCCCATTGACCCCATTGACCCCAATGACCCCAATAACCCTGTTTACTCCTGTCTCCCCATTGCCCTCATTGACCCCATTGACCCCAATGCCCCCATTGACCCCAAATCCCCATTGACCCCAATGCCCCCATTGTCCCCATTGACCCCATTGACCCCAATGACTCCATCGACCCCAATAACCCCAGTTATGTCACCCAGTCCCAATGGTCCCCATTGACCCCAGTGACCCCTTTGTCCCCACTGACCCCATTGGCCCCAATGACCCCAATGTCCCCGTTGACCCCATTGATCCCATAATCCTATTAAACCCACTGACCCCAATGACCCCACTGACCCCATTGACTCCTTTCTCCCCATTGTCCTCATTGCCCCCATTGACCCCAAAGCCCCCACTGTCCCCATTTTCACCACTGCCCCCACTGACCCCATTGACCCCACTGACCCCAATGACTTCATCAGTGTCCCCTCAATGTCCCCATTGACCCCATTGACCACAAAGCCCTGAATGCCCCCACTGACCCCAATGTCCCCATTGACCCCAGTGGCCCCACGGACCCCAATGTCCCCATTGACCCCATTGACCCCATTGACCCCACTGACCCCACTGACCCCATTGACCCCCCTGACCCCACGCCGCCCCCAGGTCTCGGTGCTGCTGCTGCTCTGCCCCACGCTGCCGCCCCCCGACGTTTTGGAGCCGCTCCGCTTCCTGCGCAGCCGTCGGACCCACAGCATCAACCTCGTCGTTGTCACCGCCCGACCCACAGCGTGAGCCCCACTGTGCCCCATAGCGCCCCATAGCGCCCCATGCAAACCCCGAGGAGCCCCACAGAGCCCCATACAGACCCATGGAGATCCCATAGAGACCCCATAGAGACCCATTGAGATCCATAGAGCCCCATAGAGCCTCATAGAGACCCATAGAGATCCATAGAGCCCCATGGAGCCCCATACAGACCCATAGAGCCCCATGGAGCCCCATCACCCCACAGAACCCTGTAAAACCCCATAGAGAACCCAAGAGCCCTATAATACCCCAGAGATCCCATAGAGCCACACAGACCCCGCAGAGACCCACAGAATCCTGTACTGCCCCACAGACCTCATAGAGACCCACAGTGCCCATAGAGCCCCACGGACCCCATAGAGCCCCACAAAGCCCTACAGTGCCCCACACACCCCACAGAGAACCTATAGAGCCTCATAGAGACCCATGGAGCCCCATAGAGACCCATAGAGCCCCATACAGACCCATGGAGCCCCATAAAATCCCATAGAGACCCCAAGAGCCCTATAATACCCCACAGATCCCGTAGAGCCACACAGACCCCACAGAGACCCATAGAACCCTACAGTGCCCAACAGACCCTGCAGAGGCCATATAGAGCCCCATAGAGACCCCTATAATGCCTCACAGACCTCATAGATCCCCATAGATCCCCATAGAGACCCCATAGATCCCCATAGAGACCCCATAGAGACCCATAGACACCCCATAAAGACCCCATAGAGACCCATAGAGACCCATAGAAACCCCATCGAGCCGCATTAAGAGAAAATAGAGCCCTACAGAGCCCCATAGATCCCACCCACAACCCTAAGCCAGGCCCACAACCCTAAGCCCCGCCCCCCACGTTAAGCTCCGCCTCCTCCCAATTCCCAGCATGCCCTGGGAGCCGCGCAGCGACAACTTCCTATTGGCCGGCTTCAACGAAGCAGTGCTCAGGTGGGCGGGGCTAAAAAATAAAAAAGGAGGGGGGTGGAGGCTGGTAGCGGAAGTGGGCGGGGCTTTGTAGCGATGGTCACGCCCACTTCCGGTTTTGGCCCCGCCCACACCCAGGTTCGTGGCCGAAGGGGACGCGGCCTCCATGTTGGCACAGGTGGAGGCTGGCCCCGCCCACTACGGGTTGGCCCTCCCACGGCCCCGCCCCCCTCCCGGGAAACGTCGCTGGCTCCGCCCCCTCCACTGCCTGTGATTGGGTGAGGAGCTGGGAGCACTGGGATGAATGGGATTAATGATGGGATTAATGGGATTAATGAATGGGTTGTGGGGTGAGTGGGGTCTGCGGGGACAGGGGGGACAATGGGGGCAGTTGGGGCAATGGGGGCAGTTGGGGCATTGGGGTCAATTTGGGCAATGGGGTCAATGGGGTCAGTGGGGTCAATGGGGTCAATGGGGCCATTGGGGACAATGGGGGCAATGGGTCAATGGGTTCAATGGGGACAATGGGGTCAATGGGGATTATGGGGTCAATGGGGTCAGTGGGGATTATGGGGTCAGTGGGGTCATTGGGGACATTTGGGGCAGTTGGGTCATTGGGTTCCATGGGGAACACTGGGGACAATGGGGGCAATGGGGACAATAGGGACACTGGGGGATCGTGAGGCCAATGGGATCAATGGGGCCATTGGGGCAGTGAGGGAAGTGGGATCAGTGGGGTCAGTGGGGACATTGGGGTCAATGGGGTCAATGGGAGCAATGGGAGCAATGGGGGCAGTGGGAGCAATGGGGGCAGTGGGGTCATAGAAGGGCTCTGATGGGCTCTGATAGACTCTAATTAGCTCTAATGGCCTCTGATGGGCTCTAATTAGCTCTAATGGGCTCTAATTGGTTCTGATGGGCTCTGATGGGCTCTAATT